CGCCCACCGCGCCGGCCGCGGGGACCCGGCCCCCCCGCGAGCGCGCTGACTGGGCCGCCGCCCTCCTAGCCCGGCGGAGTCCCGCGTGGGGCCAGCGCCGCTCGCCCCGCCCCGCCCCGCCCCGCCCCGCCCCGCGTCACCTCCCGGGCTGAGGCGGCGGGAGGTTGGGGGCGTCGCCCGGGGCTCGGGGAGGAGAGGCCGGCGGTGAGGGCGGGGGTCCCGGCCGCGGACCCGGGACCTGGCGCTCGGGCGGGCGCGGCGGGCACAGGCCGGGCCGCCGTCGGGGAGGAGCCGACCTGGTTCCCCAGCCTGGACTCGGCTCGGTCAGGGCAGGCGGCGGAGACGGCACCCGGCCGGGTCGGAGGGGCCGCCGCCCTTGGCGTGTGGACGAGCCCCCACCCTGGGGTGCAGGGCCCCGAGAGATCGGAGTTGAGGCGCGAGTGTGCACCCCTACCTGCCTTGCACACCAGCGCCGTGTGGAACCAGGCCAGGCCTAGTGAGTAGTGCAGGCCCTTGGGGCTCTATTGTATTTACCTTCTCGTGCGGTGGAGTAGGCGCTGTCCCTCCTCCTCCCTGGTTCCCCTGGTTCCTAGTCTCATAGCTCTGGGTTGGAGAGAACTGGGAGCCCACAGACAGCCCTGCAAGTCTCTTGGGGTTTCTAGGCTTACATTTCTACATTTTTTTCCCTACCCATGCCTTGTAATTGGAGAGAGAAAAGCGAAGAGTTTAGATTTGTGCTGTTTAGTAGTATTACTTGCCTGTTTTACCAATTCATACGCCGCATAATCGGCTTTCATCTCTGAAGCTAGGAAAACCAGATGAGATCATGTGAATCCCAAATTCTTTAATTTTGTTTGAGCACTAAAGAATTTTTACAGATCTTGACTCCAACCTCATCATCATATGGGAAACTGAAGACCAAGATCAACAGATCTTACAAATTTAGTAAACTTCAGATCTGGAACTAGAAGCTAGGTAATTTTGCTCCACTTTAAGACCGTGGTAGTTTTCAGTCCTACCTGCACAGGATTACCTGGGATGCTTTAAAAATACCACCTGGACCCAACCTGCCATCAAATGAATAATTTCCAGGAGTGGGACTCTGGTTGTGGGTATATTTTGAAAGTAACCCAAGTGATTAATGTATAGCAAAAGTTGAGTGTGTGTGTGAAATAGATAATGGAGAAGAAAGAAAATCACAACTAAAAAGAGGAAAGCAATCAAAAGACTACTTCTAAAGGGAACTAAATTTTTTTACCTAAACTGAAATACTAAAGTTTGGTATCCCTACTTCCCTGTCATATGCAGTGACAATGACAGTCAACAGTTTAGGCTATGAAACTTGTGTCAATAAAATACACAAAGTACTCCCTTAGATGAAAGTGGAACTAAAAATAATAAGAGTGGTGGAGAGGACACTACCTTATTCAACTATTTCTGAGCCACACTCTAAAATAAAGAACACCTCCTTCCATCCCCAACCCAAATATCAGACCCTAGCAGGACTAGAACACACACACTGTTCTGAAGCTGAAACTCCAAGGTTAAAACAGCTTAGTTATTTCGAGTACATAAAAGGCGAACTTAAAAGCAGTTGTCCAAATCAGACAGTTTTGGATTTATTTGTTTTACAGTAGTGGGTTACCTCCTGAGCCCTGTACTATTTTCTGCGGTCACAGAGCATTCTGAGTGCCTGAGGCTGCCTCCCTACCCCACCTCCCGGCCCACACTGCCTGCCACCTGCCTGGAGACAATGCCAACATATTAAGTATAGTGGCCATGAACCTGACTCACAGAGACACCTGGCTTTTTACAAGAAAGAAGCAGAAGTGAGTTGGCTTACCATTTCCATGTTTCCTCTTTACAGCTTTTACTACAATTAGAGGAGTTTGTCATATGAAAGGAATTCTTCAGGCCGACAAGATGGCAGATGACACACACACCTGTCATCCCAGCTACTCAGGAGGATCATAAATTCGAGGCCAGCCTTGCCAACTTAGCAAGACACTGTCTCAAAAGGGGTGGGAGATATAGCTAAGTGCTCCACGGTGTTAATGCCCAATACCACACATACACACAAAGGGAATTCTTAGAGGTGGAAATTCTTAAAGTCACTAGTCATAGTCCTTTACAAAATATTTGTCGCAATATTTATGTGTCATATACATAGAATATGTCATATAGATGGAATATATACCATAAAATTTTTAAATGGGGTTTAACCTAAGTGAGCTACTTTGAAAATAGTCATCCCAATGTAACATAAAATTGCTATGTATGCTCAAAACTAAATAAAGTAAAATATTGTCACAAACTCTCTAGGTCTTTCTGTAATACAGATGTTAGAGATGTTCATTTTGTTTGACCTAGCTTAGTGTTTTACTTAAAATGTTTGTTGTCCGGTATCCTGTAAGGTATTGCATTTTACTTGGGCGAGTCAGGGTGCAAACACATTTGAAATTGAGTTAGAACTGCAATATTCTTGTTTAACTTCAGAAGTCACTGAATTTTCAAGGTCTTGACACAAACCATTCTCAACATGCAAGTATTTTTTGGAGTGCCTGCAGGTTTGGGAAGCAGTGAGTTTGTGGACTTTTCATTTTTACGTCTGAATCTGAACAAGGGTGGCTTCGTTCAAATGTTAGCAGCGGGTCCAGAACTAAATCACAAGCCTGGAACCAAGCAAGAGCTTAGTACCCTGCCAAGAAACCTGGCTGCTCACGTGCTCAGAATCTTTGCAGCTCTGCTCCCACAGATGGATGGGCTGTTGTTTATGCAGCTTCTCCACCAGATCTTCCTGCTGCTCCCATTGCAGCTCTGAGGTGTTTCTTGATACGGCGTAAAGTGCGAGCATCCCAAAGCATGACTCGTATTATAACACCCACTGGTCAAAACCCTGCAGTTGTTCCCCAGTTTGTTTAGTAAGAGTCAACCCCATAAACAGTTTGGAAGTCACAGTTTATCTCTCTGACCCCATCCACAGGACTTCATTTTAGGCTGTCCTTGCGCCGTCACCTCTGCCTAGAACACCCTTCCTTCACTATCATAGTCACTAACTGCTTCTTCACCACCAAGTTTTTGCTCACTTACTTGTCCATTCAGTACTACAGCCTGCCGCACACCCTCCTAGTCAACACAATCTCTTTACCTTAGCCTATTTATTTTCCCTGCACTTGCCACTGTCTGACAGCTGTGTTTTTACTCCAAGTCAAATAATATACTGCACTAGTTTATTATATTTATTATTGATCACCTACTCCCCCCTCCTAGAATATAATCATTAGGACAGCAGGAATTTTAGTACCATATCCTAACCACCTAAAACAACCAATGCACACAGAAGGCATTCCAACAAATATTTGTGTAATAAAGTCCTGAAAGAGAAATTGCTGTTATTATTTAAGTTGGGCCAGAGAAAGGGAAAAACCATTCTCAAAAGAGGGAAAAGCAGATGCAGAAAACCTAAACTCTTTGCTAAGTCACCCAGGTTCCGGTGGGATTCAGCGCCTCCCTCGCTCTCTGGCCTCGCCTCCATGCCAGTCCACAACCTCTTCAGCCCAGCAATCTCCTTACGCCTCACTGAGTGCATGGCTTCCTATCTGTGGGACTGCCCAGTCTCTCTGCTTGGCTTATCTTTCCTACTACCTCTCCCATAACCTCCTCAGTTAGCTTCTTTGTCTTTACCATGTGTTCACGCCCTCTTTCTCCTCCTGGCATCTGTCTGCCCCAGGCCCTCTTACTACTGCCCACACTCTTTTCACAGCTAGCACTTACTACAGTATGTCATAACCATTTATTTCCTTGTCTATATTCTCAACTGGACTGTGAATTCTTTAACAGCAAGAAATGTGATTTTCTTTCTGGTTTCCCCATCAGAGTGTCTCACACATGATAGGGGCCCAGGAAACATACTGAACAAATATATGGACAGCTGCAAAATAAGGAGAAAATCACTTATCGGAGTATAGAGAAAGGGAGGCAGGGATTTGTAGCAAAAAATAAAGGCAAAGAAATAGGCTATGGAAAGATTGGGCTGTAATGTATATGCTATGTTGAAGAATTTCTTTTATAATCATTAGATAGGCAGTGAAAGTCATTTAGCCAGAGAACTGATATGATCAGCTTTGATTTTCAAGAAGATACCCTGCCTTCAATCCTTCATATCCAAAACACCTGCTAATAGAAATACTCAAAGCACACGGATGCACAGTGGTTTAGGCATGGAGACACAAATAGCAGAATTTTTACTTCCTGTTTGCAGACTTTATTTTTGTAGCCATTTTGCTCAGTAGATTATAATAGCATGATAATGAGGCCAAGGTCACAGTTTAAATCCCTGAGTGAGTCAGTCAGTGCAGTACCCACTGCTGACTATTAATCTTTGCCAGTTGTCAAATGACAACATATTATTTCTTCACCAGGAATTGAGTGATACAATATGACTGGTTCATCCAAAGTTAATCAGCATTATTGGAGAAGCAACTCAAAGTGCATGACTATTATAGTGTCATGACTACCACAATGTCATTTAAAATTAAAATAATAGTATTTTATTAGTGATGACCAAGAAGCACAGCATGAGAGAAAGAATACATTGTTTGTCCCTGAGAAAGAAACTAGAGATTAGTGCAGTTTAATGATTGGGATTCAAGGCCAAGAGGTAATGAAAAAATTAGTGGATATTAATATAAATAAGTTTTATTAATTTTGTGTATTTAGCAAGATTGGACGCTATTTCTTAATTATCACATCATAAAAACTGTGAAGCTATCATAGTAAGTGGGCCTGGGAAAATAATACTCCAATTATCTTTCATTTATAGCATTATAAAATTATTTCTGTTTCTATTCTCTCAATAAACACATCTGGAAAGTGAAATATGTACATGTAGACATAACTGTTGTGAATATTTTCTTAGTTAAATGTTTATCTTAATTACACTAGTTTAACAAAAGTGAATTTTCTGAGGTCAGAAATACATTTAAACCCCCTAATGAACAAGTGGATCTAGACATTAAATACTGATTAAACAGCAACAGATGCTGCTATCATAAATATGTCAACTAGGCATCATGTGCTTCCCGGTGAAAGATAAAACACTGCTGCCGTGGTTGTCTTGCCAAAAGCAAAGCTGAGTTTGAACATCATCTAGACTCATCTTTCAGTTTATGGGAAATTCAGAGGACACAGTAACATACTCCCCTACACCATGGACTGCAATCTCTGGAACATGCCCGAGGACATTCTATAGGACAAAACCCGTGGATACAAACACACTGCAAGGGAAAAAAGGAGAAATGAAGGGCAGAGGAACCTATAGTTTAAATAAGACCTGAAAGGTATCAGCCAACTGCAAGTAATTCATGAATTTCATTCGGACCCTGAATTTTTTTAAAAAACTGGAAAAAACTTTTATAAGAGAAGTGGTGATTTACACTGTATTTTATGATAATAGTGAATTGTTACTTTTTAGGATAATATATGTATTATGCTTCAAAGAGATTAAGTAATTTGACCGAAAGGAGTAATCACAGCTAATGTTCAAATCTATTTCTCTGGGCTCTCTATCAAGTTTTCATTACACTACACACATTTGTTGAATGTAGTTATAGGTATATACTGTTTCCCTGAAGAAAATTGAAGCATGCTTTTATTGTAGTTCTTGGCATCTAGTAGATACCACAAAGTAGTTACATTTAACACAACATACTCCCTAGTTACTATCATACTTAAAATGTGAAAACATTAGTATAACGGAAACTACTATTAAGTGAGTTATATGTCACTTTGTCTGACACTACCTTGGTTTTCCAAGGACAGACCTTTTTTAACCCATTGATCAGTTTAATTATTAATTGCAACTCCTTTCACTCCTTGAAATATCTCAGTTTGGACCTCATATTATATGGTCACACTGAATTTAGTAGAATATGAGTTAGTCTCAGATGCATAATATGTAATGGATCTAGAAAGTCTCTAAAATTCAGTGCCTTCCTAAACCAAAGGTCAATGTCCTAACCATCCCTCAGTTACAACACCACACGCTAGACATTTGAAATGAAGTTAATGAATTCCCACTAAAAATAATACTTTTGATTATATTCTCCCCTGGGTCAAGATTTTGACATCAGCTATAATCCAGAAACAACTGTAGTAGGAATACCAGCCATACCAAGCCCATTTTCTAATGAAGATTCAGGGCCAAAACAAAATCAAAGACCCAGGGATTTTTAAAAAGCCATCAACATAGGCCTGAAATACAGTACATACAAGAAAATAAGGCCATGACAAGCTTCCCAACTGGAAAAAAGATAGTAGCCATTTATTTTAAAATATGTAGGAGGTGATTATAGACATTCTAGGCAAAATCTAGGAAATTTAAAATATGCTGCAACCCAAGATTTCCCACAAATGTGTGGCTCTCAGAGACCAAAGGGTGTGGGATGGCTTGAAAATGGTTTGTTGTCCCTGAAACTCACATTGAAATCTCATCCCCATTAGGAGATACTGAGAGGAGGCCAAGCAGGACCTGTCAGAGGCGATGCAGCTCGGGCCTCATGGATGGCTCATCGTGTCTCTGTGAACGGATGCGACAATCAGCCACTGTGCAGTACTGAGAGTGGCTCTGCTGGCTGGGCCAGGTCTCACTGCCCGGGTCTCTCAACCCTGCTGCTCTACACTACCATGGCACTCTGCCAGCAAGACGCTATGCCAGATGGGGCCCCCACTCTGCCTTGAGCTGAAATCGCAAGCCAAAATATGCATTTTTTTCTTTATCATTCACCCAGTGTGTGGTATTGCTATTAGCAACAGAAAACAGGTTGGGGCAGGGTGGGTTTATGTTCTGCTATGTGACTGGCTGCTGCTCCTGATGTCCTACTCGCCTAGACTATTGCTTTCACCTTATCTCGATGGAGCCTGATCCAACTGCTCTTGTCCATGTCCTGTACTCTGCCAGACACCATGAAATTCAAGAAACCACATCCTAGATCTGATGAAAGGAGATGCAAGGCTCACTATCAGCTGTGTACTGATGGTACTGCATCCCTAATTACTTCACTATCTTTCTGATTAGAGTCATATAACACTAGGCTGAAAGGAAGAGAGAAAAGAGCACTCATTCCCCATGAAGGGAAGGTGAAGAAAGGATTAGCAGAAGAACTTAAGAACACCCCAAGTTTATTGGTCGTTGTCTTACTAGTCAAGGGAAATTTGTTCATCTCCATACCAGAGAGAGAAAAATGAGCTTATCATGCTTATTAGCTGCATGTTTAGGTGCCTAGCCTATCTCAAGAAAACATTACCATATCAGTAATTTTGGAAAAGGCATTCAATTTTAGAGTCTTTGGCTTTCCTCTTGCAAAATGAAAATCGACTAAAAGGTGATCAGTAAGATTCTTCCTACCTCTCAAATGCAGTGATACTATGAAATACAACCATTATCTAATAGTTACTTTTGAAATATACTATTCATTTAGCAAGTATGTATTGGGAACTATTGAGAACATACTGTACCTGTATAGAAAATAATGCCTACCCTCAGAAAGTTCACAGTATAGTACAGGGGATACACAAACGCTTGTCATCCACTGTGGGATGTGCTACAAGAGAGGGATCTATTAAAGTTGGTGTAAGTACCAAGACAATATACCTAACTCCCATGAGGAACACAAAAACATTTCAACTGGGTCTCGATAATCAGAAAGAAAAGGTTGTTCAGGCAGAGGAACAAAGATGGGTACACAGAATCGCACATTATTTTGTGCCACTTGGCGTGTAGGTTTCAAGAGGCTGAGAAAGTGCAATTGCCTGGAGATGAGGCTGGAAACTGAGTGGGCCAGTGCATGTAAATCCTAGAAGTTATGCTAAGCAGTTTGGACCTCCTCCTGCAACAGGGCTTCCCCAACTCATCACTGCACTAAAATTGCCCTTGTAGATCTCATTTACATGCAGATTCTAATTCAATTAGTTTGAGGTAGAGCCAGATATTCTGGTTTTCTAATGAACCCCAAATGATGCCTGCATCACTGGTTATGGACCACACTTTGAGTGGGAAGTTTGTTGTACAAGGAAGTGATGTGGTGAAATTGTTTTTAGGAGAGATCACTCCATGAATGAGTAGGAAGTGAAATGAAAAAACAATAAGAGTACTAATAGAGAAAAAAATTAGGAAGCTATTAAAATAATAAAGGCCAAACAAGAACTGAACAGTAGCAGCAGAAATGGAAAGGAGGGGATAGCTTCAAGCTATATTTAAGAGGTAGAATGGCCAGGCCTTGGTGACCAGTCAGCTGTGACAGGCAAGGGAGGAAGAGGAGTCCATACAAGAATCCAGTAGTTGGGGTGGGGATTTAGCTCAGTGGCACCTTGCCTGCCTCAAAAGTGTAAGGTCCTGGGCCCGGGATTTAGCTCAGTGGTTTCACTGCCTGCTGCGCAAGCATAAGGACCCGAGTTCGATCCCCGGTACCAAAAAAACCAAAAAACAAAAAGTATAAGGTCCTTAGTTCAATCCCCGGTACCAAAAAAATATAGAATCCAATAGTCTCACTTAGATTGAATTAAATGAATAAAATCTCATTAAAGAACACCAACCCAAGGATAAAAAAAGCCTATGAAAGTAAATTTGTTAAACTATTGCTTTTCTTTTCTTTTTTCCAATTGTTCTGTGTAACCCTGTAATATTCTAAGGTTGATCTCTTGCTAGGTCGTCCAATGTGGGCATAACCACACTGGCCACATGTGACTAAAATTAAGTTTATATTAAGTTTATTATTACATTAACGAAGAATAAATAACATGTTAAATTCCACAGTTACACAAGTTCTAGTCCAAGTGCTCGATAGCTCTCTGTGGCTAACGGCTACCATTTTGCCCATCACCAATATAGAACGTCTCCCATCTGTAGTGCAAGGAGTCAACGTTAGGAATCGCATTTACTTTGTTTACTTCTTTTTAAATGTATGCTTCTCTTCTCATAAGACACTTTAAGATTTGTTAAATATGCAAACAGTCAATGGACTAAGAAGTGGGGATATCTGTAAACCACACCAACGGGGAGATCTTGGCAGGCTGGACAATGTGCCCTCCCTTCCTCTGAGGAACAACACACAGGTTCGTAAACCCCAGAAGACTGTACATCCCCGAGGACATGAGCTCATTTGTAATTAAGTCTGTGAGAATGATGACAGATACACACCTCGAGAGTAAGCAGAGGACCAGTGGGGGCCACTTTGGAGGCTTCCTGCAGCCCTCACCACAGTTCGGTCAAGAAGGGAGAGCTGAGTGTAGGCGCGTGAAGATGGAGCCCCTTCCGGGGCTCTTCCCGGGGAATGGAGAGGAAGCAAGCTCTACCCCTTAGGGTGCTGCAGTGAGGCTCAAGCAAGACTCAGCACAAACTGACAGTAAGGCAGTTCATTGCTCTGTAAGAGTTCAGAGTTGGTTGCTCCAGGAGCCTCTACGTGTTCTGTCAGGGACTCAGTTTCATCCTGGATTTGTGCTTCGCTTCCGCGGTGTTGATTTTCCCATGGGATAACATAGCTGACAGAACAATTAGGCCCTTTCTGCCTCTGAGCTTGCTGCGGCGCAAACCCACTCAGCTGCAGATCCCAACTGCGCGGTGGCAGCTTCTCTCCTCCATCCTGTGCCCGGGAGAGCTGCTCCCGTGACAGGGCCCCCTCCGCCTGAGCCCATCCTGCGGTGAGGGTGGGAGTGACTCACGGCGCCGGCCCACCTGACCACAGGCGAGCTGAGAGAGCGCTCCACTTGCCCTGTCAGCAGCGGAAGAACATTATTATCTAGTTCTCATTAGTGTCGATTAACTTTTGGAAACGTTTCAAGTGACTTTTCTCATGATAAGATACACTGTGAAATGTAGAAGTGAGCAAGTGATGTTAGTTTCAGATTCACGGTGAAAATCAGAGGAAGATAGTTTCAGGGAGGAAATGGCATGAAAATGGTAAGCTTTACACTTTTAGTGTAATTACAAAAAGTTAAGGAAATAGATGAAAAATAACTGATGTAATCAGATGATTGGACATATACTCAGATTTTACCCTGAAACTATAGATGAGAATCTTCGATGAATTGAAACAGTACCCAAAGTGAAATGAAAGGATTTTAGCCAAACTACTGTTAAACTAAATATACAAAGGAATTAATCACTAATATATAAGCTCCTAATGGTTTAATTGATAACCGTGATAAAGTACACCCTTATACATGTTAGTTTTTGGAAGGCTTTTATCCATCTCCAGTATAAGAATTACAAACGTTTTTTCAGATAAGTAAAAAGGCCACAGTGGGTCTTTTTAGAGATTAATAATGATACCCTCACTTTGTTTTACTCTTACTTTAAGATTAATGATAAAATTATGGTTCCAACTGTCACCTCAAGGAAACTAGTACCTAAAACTGTATCACCAGTTTTAGTCCTTCATTCCTAGGTGTGGAGTGGCATTAAACTTCAGAGTTTCACTACCATCTCAAACTCAGTATCTCTAAAGCAGAGTTTATCAGCAACAACAACCACCACAAAAATACCAGGTGTTTTTCCCTCCAACTTCCACCTTTCTGTCGTTGGTATCATCATTCCCACAAACCTCCTATGGCAGGAATGTCCATGATTATTCCATGATTATTCCTTATTTTATTTTAACATTTAATCAGCTGCTACATACTGCCAATTATCAGGTATCAGTGCTATTATTTTGTGGCGGTATCTCAACTATATCCCCTAAGTTATCCTCATTGAAACCACCCTAACCTAAATTATTACCACATGACATTCAAATAATTGCACTATCACAAGCATAATATAGGAGCAGAATCGCTGGGCCATGGGTCAGGATGCCATTGATGAGTTACATCATTTTAGTTGTCACGATCTTCAGGCCCCAAATGCATCTGTCAAGTGAATGGGATCTGGCAAGATTGTCAGTATGTTCACTTCAATTCTAAAATTTCACACCACAATTATTTTTCCTTGCCCTGTCTCTTTCATTCTTCCCCTGCAAATCCTTCTGGCACTGCTGCTGAAGTAATCTTTTTAAAACCCTACTGTTATTATGACGAGACAGTGGCAAAGTAAACCCTGGAAAATATCAGCTCTGAGGTCACAATGCAGCACTTTTACCTGCAGCCTAGTCAACCATGGAACTAAACATACTCACTGTCTATGAAACAAGGGAAATGACAGTACTTTTTAATGTCTGGAACATAATAACTGCTCAACAAGTGTTTGTTATTATTCTTACAATATTCTCAAATCACATCACATTAATTGACTCTCTCTACAAAAGGTCCAACATTCATAGCTCAAGTATTTTCCTGCATTGGCCTCCTATCGGCTTCTTTTACATTTGCGCTGTTACATTGTGTACACCTTCACCCCCCAAATATCGATTTATTCTGTATCTTCCAGGGGCTCCTGACTTACTGGCATCTCTTCAATATCACTTGTGTCAGGAACACAACAGCCTCTTCTCTGTGTATTTGAGCTGACCCATCTAAATCTGCAGGCTTTCAGAGACGTAAGACAAAACACCAACTTCAACCGATCTAACAATGAGGGAAGTGTTGCTGCTGCATGAGCCAGGCTTCAGATTGACCTGACCAGAGCTCCGCCTCTGTTGCTGATGTTGGGGTTTTTTTGTTTTTGTTTGTTTTTGTTTTTGAGGCAGGGTCTCACTGTGTAGTCCAGGCTGGCCTCGAACTCGTGGCAGTCCTCCTGCCTCAGCATCTTGAGTGCTGGGAGTATAGGCGTGCACCACCATGCCTGGCTCTTGCTGATGCTTGTTTGTTTTTTGAGCTTTGTTTAGTTTCTGCAACACAGATTTATTTCCCAAAGCACTGGAGGTTGCGTCTGTTTCTTTGCAGCTGTCCCGGGCCTTTCATTGCCCTCAGGTGCCCTACATCTAGCAAAGTGACTCTCGGGGTTCCAGGCACCATGGTGCTAGAAGAAGAAAGAAAGTCTTCCTAGCATCTAAACAAGAGTCCTTAAAGTCTCCCTGATTGGGTCACATTCTCCTCTTTGCATTCCCTACCTCTCGTCCCAGGGCACAACCGAGCAGGGAAACGGAAGGTGCCAGTGGTCCCACTGCACTAACCACAGCTCCCCCAGAATCTTAGGGGTGGGATCAGTTTCTCCAAAAGTATCTGAGCAGATGGTAGAGGATGCATGCTACCCAAGTCACAGTCCGGACCCCCTTAGCCATAGGAAAGCAGTGATGAATGGTGGCTATGGGAACAACGATGTCCATGCCATCGTTATCTTTAAGACCCGACTCAAAATAATCCCTCTGACAAGGCCAGTTTCTACCGGCACCACCTCGACTTGCCTCACAACTGACCTCGTCCTGGAAGTTCCCACTCAGCACTAAGCTGCATGCAGGCAGCGGGCAGTGAAGGGTAAAATCTCCACACGGAGAATTCAGCGCCGTATATTTAGAAAGTGGAACTAGAAGGCTGAAAGGCGTGTACTGGTGGGGAACAGATCACGGCTCTCGGCACTGCCCTCGAGAGAGGGAGCAGGTTAGGAAATGGGCCCCTGGGTTCACTTCAGCAGCTTCACCCTCTGCAACAGCTGTGCATCCCCGTTTCTGCTTTCTTTCAGGAAGAGTCTGGAGCCAGCGTGGCTGTCCAACAGCTACGTCTGATGGCTGCATTTATGCCCCTGCCAGTGGCTCTCTCAGCTTTGACAACTCAGTTTAAATTTATTTCCTTTATATCAAAGTGCTTTCCCTCAAGGAGCCCCTGGGAAAACATACTCTATTCCTTTTTTCCTTAACTGCTCCTTTGACCTTTTTCCTGCCAGCAAGGCCGATTATTAACAGTTTCCATCCTTTGCAAATGGAAGTAACAACAGACCCAATACTTGGTTTGAAAATATTTTGCTATTTCCATTCATTAATATTTTGTTAATGGAAACCACACATTATATATTTTACTGAAATGCTATGACTTGAAATTTGGCTATCTGTATGTCTCTAATAATAAGAGCTTCACAATGCAACTGTTGTTTGTAGATTTGCAGCTGGCTGGTATTTTAATATTTAATTCACATTTTAAAATTTAATATGGTTGACCTAAAATATGAGATATTCTCAAATCATTGCACTGCAAAAGAAAGTAAAACCAGCTACCTATGAGACAGCCTTTTATTCATAAATAGAAATCATTAGCACTCACCCACCAATTTTTTAATTGTACTCTTAACAACGCTAAATGAAAAAAAAGACTCTTTAGGGAGCTAAATTCACCAGAGCCACATAGCAAAGACATGAGAATTAGCACAGTGAGGGGAAAAAACTCATTCCCAGAAGCAGATTTAACAAATAATAAGTATGCAAATAATGATTGTAGTTTCTTTTTCTCAAATCTTAAAAAATGAATTTCTAGGTCATAGTTCTAATAGTTGTTCTGTCTTTCCCACTGTATTATGATCTCTAACTTTCCTGGAATGGTTTACTGTCTTTTAGATTCACCTATTTCTCTAGCATGGTGCCTTCTACCCCACGGAACACTTACTTAATGTAATTTAAAACCAATAATCCCTGAAATAAACCAACAATTATTGGGGAATGTTTTGACTTGAAAATTTCAACATTTTCCAGAAAGTCATCTAAGTATAGAAATATGATTTTTCTTTGGTTCTACTGCTAAGGGATTTTTTCTTTTTCTTTTAGCTTTTATTAACGTAAGTGTTGAAAAATTTTAAATATATCTGATTAGG